GCCAGACATTGAATGGACCGAAAAAAAAAATTTAATACTAAAAATTATATTTTTCGGGTTGGGTTTGGGTGAGTTAGGCCTGCAGGTTTTACGGGTTTATGAACAGAACTTAATCAATTGTGCTTAGCAAGCTTTGTCTATTCAAAGGATGTGTGGCTGATAAGTTCAGAACAGTAGTTCATTCCACCAAGCAGCCACTGGATGGGTAATTGCTGCGAAGCGCTATTATTTTTCATTCACATTTCACAATACAGAAAATTGATAAAATAGGTTTCAATCATTCAAAAGCATCAAGAACATTGTCCAAAATATGGCGGCCAAGAAGAAAAGAAGCCTATCACTTCTAAACAAACTCTTGGTTAGTAAAATCAATAATTAGGACTTGTCTCAGCACTCAGGTGTCTCTCCCTGCACATCCTTATAACAGCTAACTATACCATTGCAAAACTAACTCAATAGAGCTCCTGGGAAAATGTGTAAATACTTGCTGACAAATACTTTTATTTCTTCTCTGTCTACTATCCCTAAAGGACGTTCCACAGATGCATGTTCTATTAAAAACGGCACTTTTTAGTCCTTGTGAGGATAAGAATTTTGAAGGAACTTGGCATAGTGATCGGCCTTTTTTCCTGTTCTATGGTCGTAGTATTCAACCACCGCTGCGCCCGCCAATGCAGCTAGCGTAAGAGCCTGTGCGTGCAGCCTGAAAGCATGACAAGCAAAGACCAAGATGTCAGAAACCAAACAGACAATAGTCGCCTCACAGCACAAAGAGCAGATTATGACCCCCATATCATTTTGGCTGGAAATGCTCAGGAAACCGAAACAAGAAGTAGAATTAGTAATGTCTCAGGAGAGATTGGCACTTGATAAAGAAACATGAAATGCAACTAGGATAGATCCAAGGGGGAAGAGATAAAGGAAGGCATAAAAGCTTTAATCTAGAGTATCCACACCCCTGATCAATCAACTGTCTTTTAACAGCTACAAAAACCAATAAGAACATAAAGGACTATATTTTAGTTTTAAGAGTTTGTATATTCAAGAATTCTCTGTCATCCCCTCTCCTCCAATAGAATCTATTATGGGTATAAATGCAAGGAAAAACAGAACCGACATAAAACCTTAAATGGCCATTCATTGGATGGATTAAAAAAATATTAATGAGCCCAAATTTTCGCCCAAATCAAATCTCCTGTCTAATTTTAGTATCCCAATTGGTGTCTAACCAAAAAATTTAAATTGCTTTTTAACCAACTCTTTTGTGCTTATCAGATGGTATGGCGTAATTTAATTGATTGAACACCAATAGAAGATCTACATCCATCTCATAGTAATTGCAAACTTCTATATACAAGCCAGAGCAACTCTTTACAATCTCAAACCAACGAGTGATTGCTAAAAGGCAATGAAAACCGATCAAGGAGGGCAAAACCAAAGAGAGAATTTTTGTGTCATGAATTCCCACCAGGCAACCTAAAGTCTAATTCCAATTTCAATTAAATTGATTTAATTAATTTGCCCAACTTCGTTATTCCCTTGCTTATATAAACTAAAAAGGATTAAAATATGGTAAATCAAAATAATTTGCCGTTAACTTTTATATATATCAAACCAAGAACATGCACATATTATCTTAAAACCAAGGGATTAAAAATTCTAATTGAGAAAGTAATAGAAACTCACCTAGCATGAATAATCTTAACACTTGTTTTCATATTAGGCTGCGACCAGTTGTATGCGATTGAACCCGCAATTCCGCTAAGCCAAAGAGTCCCTTTTTACAAAAATAAAAGAAAATACTAAAATCTCAGAAGACTATCATCAAATTCGTTAAAAAAAAAAAAAAAAGCGAAAAGCGAGATCAATTGTAACCCACAAAATTTTTAGATAAAAAACCCAGAGACCTAATAAGAACAACTCGATTAAAAAAATTATTTTAATTCCTACACAAATCACAAATCTGTCGATACCTTTAAACAGATATGAACCCAGAAATAGAACTACATAAAAAAAAATTGCATTTCACATCGAAGAAGGAAAGAAAGAGGGAATTACCAACAGTTCGAAGCTTATGTTCCGAGACCCACTCCCTAATAGATTCAAATTTGCTCTTAGGTTCCGCCATCTTTGATGAAATTTATCAGAAATATAATCAATTAAAGAATAAATAAAATTTCTTTTGAGATGAAAAAGAAGGAAGATTTGTTCGGTTGGGTTTTTGTTGGGAGTTTATATGGGTTCGTGAGGAGGAGAAGAGAAGGCGGACTTGTTAACCTGCGACTTGAGTCGGTGGGCGGAAATTAACACGTGGATTCCCGTACGACAGTTTTTTCAACACGTAAGCGTACACGGTATTTTCTCTCCCCCTCTCTCTCTTTTTTTTATTTTTTCCTTCTCTTTAAAAGCTGAATGAAAAAAAAAAAAAAAAAAACTTTCTTTTTACTCAAGTAGTTGATGGCTCGTTCTTTTAATATTTTTGAGTTAGGTAATTTAAGTGTAGATTTTAAGTTGAGTTTGAGTTATAACTTAAGTTAAAGTTATAATTTGAATTTGTGTTTAGTTGTGTACATTTGAGTTATGGTTTGAGATAAGAATCTTTTTTGAGTTTGTGTTTGAATAAGTCAAAACTTGAATTTATTTTTAGATAGTATTTTAATAAAAACTCAATGCTGATGAAAAATTTTAATAGGGTATATGGATCTAGTTTTATTCGTATTTTCGTTGTCAACGCATAGAAAAAAAATCATCTCAATCAGAATTAAAACGAAAAAGTTATAGCATTTTTAAGAATAGAAAAAATACTGTTCATTAACTTGAGTTCGAGTTTCTGAACTCGAGTTGAAGGGGAAACTTGAACTCGAGTTTTAGTTCCAAACTCGAGTTCAAACTTAAAAGAACATAAACTCGAATAAAGTTGTAACTCGAGTTACATTTTTTGAGTTTTTCACTCAAAAACTACCTCACTAAACAGGCCCTGAGTCACGTGGATATAGAGAATAACTTGATAAATTTGAGTCTATTTAGTTTGCCGTTTGAATTATTGTGATTTAATTTAAATTATAAAATTTTAATTGTAGTAATTTTAATTGTGATTCAAATCAGTGTTTAGATACACAAATAAATTATAATTTAAATTGATAATAAAATTTGAATTGTGTGTGAATAAAATGTTAGAAACTATCATTAGAGTTTGACAACAAATGTTATAAAACCTCATCATAAAGAATATGTTTAAATATGTAATAATGGAAATTTGTTGCTCTCTTCGTTATGAACATATAGGAAAAAAAATCATCTTAATTAGAGTTGAAACAAAAATGTAATGATATTTTTAAAACTTAAAATTGAAGAGAGAAAAAATAAAAAAATAGTTGTGTTTCAACTGTTGTCAACAATCCGGATTGTGAATTTTAAGAGGCTATGAATTCCAAAATCAACCATGTAAATGGTCATCTTTATTTGTAAAATAAACACTAATTTAAACTTTTAGGCACAATTCAAATTTAATTGTTTGGTTCAAACAGTTTTAACCAAATATGGGGTTGATCTCGCTTTAAAACAATTCCTTAGAAGTTAAATCTACCGATTAGAGCAAGAGAAGAAAATATATTTTGAAGAATAATATCGAAAAGGAATTGAAGTTATATAGAAATATTTTATAAAAAACAATTTATGTAGGAAGACATTTGAAATGAATTATTTTAATTATTAAGAAAAAATATTTCAAAAAATATATTGTAGAAAATGAATTGTCAGAAAATCTTAGGGAAAAAAGAAACTACGAAAAAGAAAAAATTAAAAAAAAGAAAAAATAATAGTTATAGAAAGTAAAAAATAAGAAAATGAATGCATTTCAAAAAAGAATATTGTAAAAAAACTTTTAAAGAATACTAGAGGTAAAAACAAAAAAGACAATAGGCAAATGAAAAATATAAAAAAAAAAGGAAAAGTTAGAAAAGAAGAAGAATAAGGAGTCCAAGTGGCTTGGCCTTATTAGACTCAATTCTGCTAGGCTGTATACTTTAGATGTTACGAGCATGAAAGTCGCGCGTTGCTGCGGAATACAGTATTATATTATATGATAGTTGTATTTAAAATATATTTATATATACATGTATTATACAGTATTGTATTATATGATAGATATAAAATTTGTACAAATATATTTATACAGACATATATAGTACTATTATTTATAATATTTATATATATAGATTGTACAAAATAAAAAATAATGCTGTTGTGGTTCCTGAGCATTTCATTTCTTTCAGCTGCAAATATAAAAATAGGAAAAATGGTTGTAAATATAAGTGTGAAGAGAAATAAAGATGGTTAAATTAAATAGTATGAAATAAATATTATAAAAATATTTATATTACCTTGTTTTTGGGCTTTTTACAGATTGTCTTGTTGTTCTTGATTCAGAACTGAAAAAATGAAATAATTTGTAGATATGTTTTTAAATAAATTGATAATATTTGTTGTGTTGAATGTGGCTTACCTTGTACCAGGTTTTTTTGGTGTTGGAGTGTGTGGATCAAATGTGGTCGGTGTTGATAGCTGTGATGATGGTATTGCCTGTGAGCTGAAAAATGAGAAGATTTTTAAAATTGTGATTAATATTATATAAATGTTATTTATGTATAGTTGATAAAAAATTTAAAAAATATTATTTACCTTTGTGGATTTTCTGTTCCTGCAGTTAACTGTTTTGGTGGCGACAATGGAACATGGATGTCTTCAAATATTTTAGAAATTAATGTGCTCATTTGGGTGCCTCGTTGTTGAAAGAAGACTTGGAAGATTTTTGATTGTCCTCG